CGCAAACTACATAAATGAGGTAAACTAGACTATGAAGATATTGTGTGACAAGTTTTCGGGCACTCGAACTCAACCGATAGAGTGTTAGCAAGAATCGAACTCATGACCTTTTGATACGAGAATGATAACTCTTATTTTATATCATATTTTACATCATTCTTACCCCCTTCTTTATGTTGATTTCATGGTGTTTATTTGGGTTTTAGAACTAAAAATCATATTTTGTGCTCAGAATTACCCAAATACACTTTGGAGGAAGGAAAATGGAAAAAGGAAGCAAAACTTGATCATTTTGGAGCAAAAACACATGGAAAAGGAGCACAGAAACAAACTCGGAGGAAAAATCACAAAGGAGAGGATCTAGGTAAAAAGTGGCGTGAGGACAAAGTCACGCACGGGCAATAGCACGCCTATGCGCCGCCCGTGCATAATGCACATGCACAACTTGTCCTCTGCACGAGCACATCATGCATGTGCAATTGCACAGGCAGTGGCACGCCCAAGCGGTGCAATTGCGCCGAAACCCTGAAGAAATGTTATAAATATATCTTGTTCTCCTTTTGCATAGAGAAAGTCGCCATAGGAGTACTGTAGCAATAGGAAATTTGCAGTTTATGGTATTTTCTATCTTCCTTAGCTATTTTATTGTTATTGTGTTGTTACCTTTGGGTATTTTGGATTGCTTTAGCTTAGATTACCTTGTTATTGTGTTTATCCTTGATTCTAGTTTGTTGAAGTTATTTTTCCATTTTTATTTGCTTATTACATTGTTGGATTATGTTATTGATGAATGTTTTTGTGCTTTGTTCTTATATTATGAGTTAGTAGAGTAGTTTAGGGATTGGATAGTGTGTTTATTATGTTTGATGCCTATTTGATACTTATTTGATTATTTCATTCTAACATAGGGTTCTTGTACGTTTTAGTGAGATGTTTTGTGTGTTAGTGTTGATGAATTTATGCACAACTTTGTCAATACTTGTGTAGTATGTGATTTTGGCGGGCAAGGAGTCCACGGGTTATCACACCCCTAGACTTGTCCCTCAACCGTCATTATTCCGTAGACCTTCAGGTTCACTTACGAGAGTATGGAATGTTGAAGGTCAAGACTACTTGTACATAATGAGGGGGATTGGTAGCGTCACGAGAGTGGAACAATCCCCATTTACTGAATTGGCCTAGCATTGGATCACGAGAATGGTGTGTTAGTCAAACAATTTGGAGTTGGTAGTCTTGAATTCAATGATGAAGTTTCTTAGCCATCAATCTTTTGACTCATGGCATCAAACCAGTAAATACCCATTCCAACCCCTATTTTTTTTTAATCATTTCTATCCCTTTATTTTCATTCCTATGCTTATCATATCTCCTTCGTGCTATTATTTGTTTAGATTCCACATATCGTTCAATGCCTGTGTCTAGATTTTCTTTGGCTAACCCAACCCCCAATCCTTGAGGACGATCAAAAGCAAATTCATTTTTGTTTGTTCTGAATACCACTATATTTGTTCAGAGCGAATCAGAGAATCATGCTCTATTCACTCGGTGATGTGAGCTTAATTGTACATGTTTCTGTGTTTGTTTGAATCTAATTATTGATGGGATTAAGTTCATGAAATTGTTACTTTAATTGCATTTTCCATTGTTTTCTCATTTGGATATGGTTTCACTTGATTTGAATGTTTTACGGTGTTTGTTAGTGTTTTGGAACCATTATAGGTCAAGTGCAAAGGCAAAGGGAGGTGCTAGGACAAGTTCGAGGTCAAAATGAGGTGACGGATCGAGCCCAGAGGACTCGACGCGTTGAGAAGTAGCAGTTGTTCGAGTCCGAGAGCAACAGAGGGCTCAACGCGTCGAAAAATTCCAGAAGCATCCGAGGAGTTCAGCAGCATGCTCGACGTGTCAAGGCATCCCAGCAAACAGCCGAGAAAATCGACGTCTCGTTCTCGACGCGTCAAGACGTCATTTTGGGCAGCTTCCAAATTCACGCGAAAAATTCCTAATTCGCCCCAGCTTGGTTCCCGCTATAAAATTCCACCTTTCTTAACCCTAGAGGACTTATGCTATGTTTTGGAGACAAGAAAGAGGAGAATTGAGAGCTATAAGTTGTCTTGGGAAGATAGAAGAAAGCTAGGGAGATTTGGAAGAATCACTTGGTTTATTCTTGTACTCTCTTTGATTATTTATAAACTCTTTATTATTGTTATGGATTCTATATTAGCCATGTGTGGCTAATTTATTTTAGAGATTCTTGGGTAAAAGTATTTATGAACCTATGTGCATAGTTCTCATATTCTTAATATATTAATATTTGGGTTGTAATTGTGATTATATTGTTGTTGCTAGTAGTTCAGGGCCCAAATTACTTGTTTCATAGTTATCATTTATGTCATAACGGGAGTTAGGCATAATTGTGAGCACCACAATTGTACTTAACTGAGGCACCTTGGGAGAAGTCATATTTGTTAGGGAGTTTAATTCTTAGTTATTGCACATCGGGAGTTTTTACCCAAAATGGTCCCTCGACTATTGCTCATTCTCAATTTTGCATTTCGACTTTCAATTGCACCAAATGTGGTCCCTTGACTTTTAAAAAATCACCAAATTTAGTCCTCTGTTAAGTTTTTCGTCTACTCAGTGTTAAATTGGAGGGCATTTTCGCCCGTTTACGTATCATACGCCTAATATACATTGAGAAATAGTCGAGAGACCATTTTGGGAATAGTCGAGGGACCATTTTGGAAAAAACTCTTTTATTTATTTCATTTTTGTTTATTTTCATTTATTTTACTCTATCAAATTAGAATTTCTATAGATTATTTTTCTTACAAATATAATAGCTAATAAAATCACACACTCCAACCTCAAAATTTTTAACTTTCTCTACAAACTTTTTCCCGCTGTCTAAAAATACAAAATTTTCATCTATCCCTATCAAGTTTTACAATAAGTTTCGTAACTTTTATAAATACTCATATACCTTTTATTTTTATCTTTTTATGTCCATATATAAAATCATACTAAAAGTTCAATAGAGAATTAATCACTATGTATCACATTAAATATTATTTTTATCATTGAAAATAACATTATTATTGTTTCCAGTGTAGACACCCAAAGAGTGCAAAATGTAGGGAAAATGTGGCTAATTTACTTTAGAAATTCTTGGGTAAAAGTATTTATGAACCTATGTGTCTAGTTCTCATATTCTTAATATATTAACATTTAGATTTTATACTTGTGCTGTAATTGTGATTATATTGTTGTTGCTAGTAGTTCAGGGCCCAAATTACTTGTTTCATAGCTATCCTTTATGTCATAACTGGAGTTAGGCATAATTGTGAGCACCACAATTGCACTTAACTGATGCACCTTGGGAGATGACATATTTGTTAGGTAGTTTAATTCTTAGTTATTGCACAACGGGAGATGGTAGTAGTTAAGAGTTTTTTATGAATGCTTGTTCTTATATTGTTGGGTGTTTATATCACGGGAGTGGATATTCACTTAGGGTAGAGATTACGAGAGTAACTCTTTTCCCTGTATGCATTCTTACACTTGTTTAAACCCAGATTTGATATTGCATGTTAGATTGACACTAAGTGATTAAATACTTGAATCCTAGGAATCTCATTCTCTCTTTACTGTTTTCTCAAACCTGCATACTTTGTTCTTTCAATTAGTCTTACAATTAATCAATTACTCTTTTCGTTAGTATTAACTTCACAAGAATAGATTAGTAACTCGTGCTTGATACGCCCCACTTTCTTGTGGATCGATAACTCGTTACTCCGAGTAATTATTTATTTGATAATTCTACTGCAATCACTCAACCACTTCTTTTGGGGCTGATGAGCATCAATTTTGATTATTTTGTAATCTTATTAGTAGCTTTGCCAATTAATTTCGAACCGACTTTCTATATTAGGCAAATTATGCTATGGACCCGTGTCCACCATGTACATGGTGGACACGTTGTACATTCATAATTTTTATATTGTATATTCATAATTTCTATACTATACATTCATAATTTTTAAACTGTAGATCCATAATTTCTATACTGTAGATTTATAAAATCCATACTGTAGATTCATAATTTCTATACTGCACATTCATAATTTCTGTACTGTATGAATCTACATTATAAATTTTATGAATCTCCAGTATATACATTATGAATCTACAGTATAGAAATTATGAATCTACAGCACAGAAATTATGAATGTGCAGTATAGAAATAATGAATCTATAGTACAGAAATTATGAATATGCAATATAGAAATTATGAATCTACATTATAAATTTTATGAATGTACAGTATAGAAATTATGAATGTACAGTATAGAAATTATGAATATACAGCGTGTCCACCATGCACATGATGAACACGAGTCCAGGGCATAACGCTCCTCTATATTAATGAAATTACTCACCAAACGAAAATATAATTTAACTAATTAACTTAATCGAATTAATCATAATTTTATTATATAAAACATATTTTATAATATATAATATATTTTTTATTTTTATTTATTATTAATTCGGTAAATTTTGAAATTTTAACCAAATTAACAGATAATTAGATTTTTCTAAATAAATTTAAAATCATTAGCCAAACTTAAAATTTTACGGAGTATTTATTAGGATAGTTCTAACCAAAATCTATGATAGCCCATCTCATCTCCGGACTAATTCGCCCTTTTTTTTTGTTGATGTTGTTGGTATTGTTCGTCATAGAATAAAGGTTGCTAAAATCGTTAGGCGTTACTCGAGCGTTCTTTTAAAAAAGAAAAATTAAAAGATTTTGTTAAAAAGAAATATTCAAGATTAGGTAATTATAAAATATTTAATACTTTAATAGTTAGTACTAAAATATTAAATATTAACCTAAAAACATCTAGAATTGTAAATTGTATAAAAATTTAAAGAATCAAAACACAACACAAAGTCAAAACTCACAAAGTATTAATATTAGAGTACCTGCTTTCAGACAGAGGAAATGGCAGGACTACTAAAGTTTGGTCACATCCGTGGCTACCTGATGCACATGACCCCTATGTGGGTCTGAATCACCAGAGCCTCAATCAGGAGCTACTGGTTGCGGATTTGATTGACAATGACACACAAGGATGGAATGTTTGTTTAATTAATCAGCTTTTTGCTCCTCGAGATGTTGTGTTGATAAAACAGCTGCCAATAAATGCGGACTACGAGGACATGTGGTTTTGGGAACGGGATATAAGGGGTTGCTATTCAGTAAAAGATGGGTATAGAAGGCTGGTTGAACTGAATACCCCAAGCTCGGTGGTTTGGGGAATGCTATGGAAGTTACAGGTTCCGCCTAAGTGGAAGATCTTTCTGTGGAGAGCCCTGTTGAACATTTTGCCTACGTTAGATAATTTGATTATGCGCAGGGTGGATCTTGTTAATGTTTGTCCGTCATGTGGAATGGAGGAGGAAAATGTTCTGCATGCTTTATGTTCTTGTATTTTTGCATCACATGTTTGGAACTTATCTCAATTGCCTATTCCTTCTTTTAACGGCAGGAGTTTTATGCAATGGGTGGAAGGTTGGCTTGGCGAACCGGCCACCACTTCGGACACCAAAGGAAGGATACGTGGATTATTATATGACGTATGGACTTCCAGGAATGCCGTAGTATGGGATGGTATTTTACCATTACCGCAAAAACTACTATGTGGTAGTATCGCAAGGTGGAAGGCGTGGAAGATTAATTGTCAGCGGCATGCACATAACCCACCTCTCCTGGCATCAGTGCCGAATCCGGACCCCCACTTAGCTGCAGGTGTTATCTGTTATATAGATGCGAGGTTTCATGGTCCACAACATGCACCCACGTATGGATTCATTGTACATGAGGCGGATGGAACCTTCATGGCGGCGGCAAATGGCCCATTATCTTGTTCGTATGATCCTCTCTTGGCGGAAGCACTGGCAATGTGTGAAGCACTATCATGGTTGAAAGACAATGGTTACACTGCAGTCACTTTATGTTCAGATAGTATGGTTTTGGTTTCAAGTTTAAGTCACGCTAGTTCTTTTCGTACCTATCTTGGTTTTGTGTTGCAATCTTGTAATCGTTTATTTACATTCATGTCAAACTCTGTGCTAAAACATGTAAGCAGGGATGCTAATCGAGCGGCTCATGCTGTGACACCCCAAAAATCCACATTCAATCCATGGATTAATTGAGTAATTAATCCTATTTTAATTTGAAGAGTTAATTCCTAAAATCCTGATTTTTAATACTCAAGGACTAGAATTTGACTAGTCAACCTTTAAGTTGTGTTGTACCTTGTGCTTTGAGGGGAGTTCCCTTGTTCCTTACACTTTCTAAGGGTTAGTGAGGGTATTCTTGTCTTTTCACCAAGAGTTAGTATTGTAACCTAACCTAGAAGACTTCTTCATTTCATTCCCTACAATTCTTAGAAAATAGTTCTACCTTCTCTCTAGAAAAGAAGTGTAGCTTATTCTCCAAGCCGAGTTGAGACCCTTGTCAAGATTTCAAGATTTGCTTCCAAGATTCAACCTTTCACCTATTTGGGCATCTAGGAGGGTAAGATCTAAGTTTATCTTGTGTTTTTGGTTCCATCTTAGTTGTCTTTTTCTTATAGGTAGGATCTTTATGATCTTTTGGTTTGATCTTGAAGTGGGTTTGGAAAGTAAGCCTTGTGGAGAGCTTGTTGTGGTGTAAAGTGAAGTATTTTGGTCTTCAAGAAGTAACTCATGCTCTACAAAACCTATTTTGCTTACCTATATGTGATTTTGGGTTCTACATGTGTTTTGCTATGAAATGTGAGGGTTTATGCAATTGTCTTGTGATATTGCATATCTAGAGCTTGTGTTTAGGGTTCCTTTGTGCCATTGCTTGGAATTTTCCATGGTTAAAGTCATTTTGTTGTGTTTGGTGAGATTTGGCATGTTTTGGACTTGAATTTGTGTTTGGAGAAGAAAATCCCCAAAGGTATTTGTTGTGGAACATGGATGTTCCCGCGGGCGGAACGACAGGCGGGGCACCACCCGCCGGCCTACCCGCGGGTACATAGGCCCGTGGGGATGTGTTCCCGCGGGCGGGACCACGGGTAGGTATCCATGTAGGACTTTGGTGTCTTCAATCGTGCTAAGTGTTCAACATTGTGTTTCGTTGGACCAAGAGGTGTCTTGCGTGTTCCTCGGAACTATCTTGAGTTTCCCCGTTGATAAGCATGCTAGTTTGTTGTCTTAATGCTAGCGTGTGTGTTATTTGTACCTTCCGTTTGGTTGATGATAACTTGTGTTATTCATCGTTGTTGTCGTTGGGCTGTGACCCGTTCCTTGATTGAGTATGTTTCATACCTTCGTTGTGATCCGTTGCTTGACTCTCGTGTGAGTGGTGGCGCGTGTGTGGCTCTACCTGGATTGCACGATTAGTGGTATGGGACACTAGTCACCAAGGTATTGCAGCGGTCCTCGTGGTGGCCGTGACGTGATTATGGAGTCGTGGCCTGAGTGATGGGTCCACGTTTTTGGGGGATAACATGTGTTATCCGGGCATGTGTTGCCGTGATTGGTGGTGTTCGTTGGTGGTTGTTGGTGGGGGACGACGGTCCCCGGGGAATAAGGTTGGACTAAGAAGTACAGGGGTCTTGGAGGTAATGGTTGGAAAGAAGGTACAAGGTTGGGGGTAGCCATAAGGTTGGAACAGGGCATAAGGAAGGCATACCAACTCGTGATAGGTGATGTTGCGAGGGCTTGTAAAGCCGGCGTTGTGTGATCTTCTCTCGTGACGTGTGTAGTCACGGAGGCTTGTGTTGTTGTGGCATGTGTTGCCGTTGGGTGAGTCTTTATCCTTGCGTGTGGTTAACCTTTGTGGTTTGGGATGTGTTCACGTGTTATCCTTGAGAGTGATGAGTCTTGTGTTGACAGTTGATCTTGGTTTTGGCTGATATATATGTATTCTGTTTCGAAAATGGTTTTTATGGCTTATATCTATCTATTTATGATACTTAACGGTATGGGTGGGTTACCAGCATTATTCGCTGACCGGGCGTCGTCCCAATGTTTATCTTTGTATCTTTCAGGTGATGTTTAGACGAGCGCGATGTCTAGAGCCTGGTAGCTTAGCACCTTTATCTTTGCTTTTGTGGCCTGTGCGCCAATGTAGTTAGATTGATGTTTTGGGATATATGTACACACTTGCAGATTGTTTGCCGTAGCGTTTACCGTGTTTGGTAGACGTGGTGTGACACCCCGTTGGATTTCCTTTTATCCAGTTTCGTTTTTATCTTTCGCTGTGCTAGTTTTGTCGCTTAATCTGCATGTGTTAAGGCTTTTATATAGCTCTTGTTTGGGGGTGTTACACATGCTCTAGCTAAACATGTAAGCGCAAGCATGGCGCGTTCTGTTTGGAGGGATGATCCTCCACTCTTTCTATTGCCTAGTATGGCTAATATAATATGATTCTTTTGGCTTTCAAAAAAAGAGTACCTGATTTCAATTTTTTATTACATTTCTTGGGTTTGCGTCCGATGTGAAAAATTTAGGGTTATTTCATTAGAAGTTGCGCTAGTTTGAGCGAAATATCCCATTTAAAAAAAAAAAAACACGGAAAAATAGCTAATCGGCAACCTAAACGCCCACCTAGGCCGTCTAGCGCCTAGGCGCGATTTTTGCAATATTGCATAGAACAATGTAGTCTATTCTATTAATTATTTATGTCCATGTATCAAAAACAAATTATTTACCACCAATACAAATAGTAAAAGCTAGTTTGGCCCGCACGGACTTAGCTCAATGGTTCAGTGGGTAGTATTTGGAAGAAGATGAGAAGAAAAAGCTAGTTTGACCCCACTTAAATAAGATCTCAAGTTTAGATATCATTTATCATGTTGACTACAACTTTTTTTTTTTTTCTATTTTTTGTGATGTATTCTGTTGTTAAAAAATTTTTTGCTATGAATGTAATAAGAAAAATTACTTGTATTATTTTAATATATTAGAAATATACCTTTTTTTTTTAAGGTCAACCAATGGGTTGTATTTATAGATAAGCTGCAATAGCATCAGGTAGGATATTATCCCAATACATAGCTATTGTAACAACAAAGAGAGGCCTTCAGCACAAATAATAAACAAGTATGGGGGTAATGGATCACCTTGTCGTAAGCCCCTAGTTGGTAATAGTGAATCACTACGTGTTCCATTCACCAGAAAGTTGTAGGATACAGTAGTAACACACATCATAATAAGATCAATCCACTTATCAGTAAAACCGAGGGCCACCATCATACCCTTTAAAAAAGGCCATTCCATTCGATCATAGGCTTTCGCCATATCCAATTTCAAAGCACTCCACCCAACTACTCCACACTGTTTCCTGTTCAAATAATGTCCTACCTCTGAAGCGCTCAGGATATTATCCATTATTAATCTGCCAGGTATAAATGCACTTTGAGACTCAGATATAATACTATCCATCAGGGGTTTCATTCTTTGAGTAATCATTTTGGCCATAAATCTATAGATTACATTACTTAGCGCAATCGGTCTTAAATCAGAGACCTGCTCAGGAACATCCTTTTTTGGGATTAACACGACATCTGTATTATTCAAACCAGGGGGCAATGAGCATGTATTCAGATAGTTTACAATAAAATTTGAAACATCACTCCCCACAATATCCTAGAAATTCTGATAGAACCCCGGCTTCATCCCATCCGGTCCTGTGCCTTATCAGGATACATCTCAAACAGAGCATCTCTCACCTCACCAACCTCAAAGGGCCGCACTAATAAATCATTTTGTGCCTGACTGACTCGTGGAGTAACATTACTAAAAATCAGGTCACCATTCATGGGGTTACCATATGTAAATATATGCTTAAAATAATCCAGAACCACACCCGTCATACTATCCCCTTCCACCCAATCACCATGATTATCCATAATTTGAATTAAAGTATTCTTTTTCCTTCGGTTCGAGGCATACCTGTGATAGAATTTCGTG